AGAAGAGATTCACTCTACAGAGGTCGCTCTCTTATGACATGGGTGGTACCTATGTCTCAAGACAAGGGGGGATCACTGTGAAGAGAGATATATAAGGAGAGGACGGGTTACTGCTTGGCAGATTAGTGACATTCTTTTTTAAATGCTTGAATGTTTCCTCACTGATTAAATGCCAGTATGTTACTTGGCGTGAAGGCTAATGTTCTTAGACCTATGTATCAGATTGATCAGATGTCGGTAGAAACGTGGGCCCTGGACACTAAATGTCCGTGGGCCCTACACACAAAATGTTGACCGTGGGCCCTGGACACAAAATGTTGACTGTGGGCCCTAGACACAAAATGTTGTCCGTGGGCCCTAGACACAAAATGTTGTCCGTGGACCCTACACACAAAATGTTGTCCGTGGACCCTACACACAAAAAGTTGTCCTTACGTTGTCCGTAGCCGAAAAATGAAACGACCTGATCTAATCCGTTTGATCGTTACAAAAACGTCAATCAAATCACGGGGTCGTTGACCTCAGGAGCAAAACTTGTACGTCCGGTGACTCTGGGTTTCCCTGCAACATGTCACATGTCACTGACGTGTCCCATTCAATGGGAGTTTCCGGAAGTCTCATTCTGTCACTCGCATGGACGCCGCCATTTGCATATGCCAATAAAGTCCAATCGACTATCGAACACAGCTTAATCACGATCAGATTTTACTTTGCTCATTGTATTTTTTCCAAACTTTTTTTCACACTAAAAAATTATTTTTAAAAAAAAAAACAGATTCAACGTAGTTTGTTATTTTCTTATTTTCCTGTTCATTTTCTCATTTTGTATTTTCAAGCTGTCGCTGGAGGCTGCATACTGAGATTCGAACCCAGATCAGCCAGAGCATAGGATACCAGTGTTTCTTCCAGACTTTTTTCTCCGGGGGGGGGGGGGGGCACTTGAAATTTTCGGGGGGGGGGGCGGTAGACTTTCTTCGTGGGGGGGGGGGGCGGACACTGTTAAAAGTAAATATTTTCTATATAAATTTCATTTCGTTCGGGGGGGGGGGGGCGGTAAAGTTTAAGAGATGCCTGGAAGAAACTCTGTAGGATACAACCACCGCTTTCTTGAATGAAACACGTATCAGCTTCTAGTATCCCACTAGTATTCTTCGCTTATTTGCGACGCAAACACCGAAAGTTAATACAAGATAAAAGCGAGGGTGCGACCGTGGCTTGATAAATAATGGAATCTTCTTTAAAAGGGGTGTTAAGTTACCTGACATAAACAAATTACACGCTAATTTCAGTTCCAATTTTACCCAATCCCTAATCGCTATCCCTTAACATTATCCTTACCCTAACACTAAACTTGAAATTACATTACTGCCAAATAACACCCTTATTTTCGGAAGAGTCCATTATCAGACATCGGTAAAACATAATACTCTATGAAAGCTACATTATAGTGTGTCATATATTGAATGAATCTCATTGTATTTTGCTTTTATTAGGGCAACATTGAAATATGAAAACAATTTTTTTTTTCAAAAATATGGCCAGTAACAAAAAATCTGAAATATGTTATTCTTATCATCGGAATTAATTTATGTTATAATTTGAAAGAAACTATTTTTGAATGTTAGACTTATTAAATAATAGTTCAACCTTTATACTTTTGCAATAACAGTCGATCCAAGCAGAACCCCTTTAATATTGGTTAAAATAGAAAATGGCTTGCAAATCCTGAATGATACATAGAGTTACAAGACTAATTAAAAATACCGACATTTTTACCAGGAGGCCGCAGCGTTGCGAGGGGGGGGATACATATGTCCCCTGGCGCCAACCTTAGGGGGCGCCAAAATGGGTTGGAAAAACAAATTGAAATATCATTTTAGCTGTAGTTTTGCATTATAAATATATAAAAAATATATGGGTGGGGGGTGCAAATTGAAAGTTCGAAGGGGGGGGGGGGGGGGAGGGTACAAATAGGAAGTTTAGGGGGGGGGGGGGGTGCGAAATTGAAAGGTTGCTCCCGAAGGGGGCGCCAAATTGAAAGTTTGTCCCTGGGCGCCGGAAACGGTCGCTACGCCTATGCCAGGAGGTGTTAGCTTTTTCCTATTTTTAACACAAAAAATAGTTAACATTTTCAATAATAAAAAAAACCCAACGCTTGACTAGTATGTTGTAAACTTTTTGGTTTCGTTTTTAATTAGTTGAAATACTTGGTACTCGCACATTACATGATGGACGCTTATCCTGAATTGAACAAATCTCTAGTCTCAATAAATTGTGTAGTTTCTTTTATTTAAAACTTCATATTTTTTGACTTATCATAAGCCACGTTCTTGAAAAAAAGTTAACGTTTTGGTGATGTACTAAAATGGCAAGCCTGCGCGTACGACGGGGGTCACAGTGAGTACACGGAGCGGGTGAGACCAACGATGAATTCCATCTGGTGCTGATGTTTAATGGTACTGACAGGAACAGTCACTGGCCACGTCGACAGGAAGAGAAATTACACCCCCTCCCTCACCACCCCGTTCACCACCCCCAACGTTTTCGTAAGAAGTTTCTGGACTCTTGACAGGTGCCAGGGAGGACGCGAAGGGCGCCAGGATGGTGAGGGGAGCGGGGGTATTTGTTACTTAACCAGTTTGTTGAGATAAAACTTTGAGCCAAATTCTCACCATACGTTACAATCTAGTGTATCAAATTTAGATTGAATATGTCTGTAGACTACCGAGATGAAGAAAACTACAGTTAGATATTCATACCCCTGAAGGCCTAGAGAGATGAAGGACAATATGGTTAGATATTAATACGTGTGTACGCTATGGAAATGAAGATAACTAGATATTTATACGTCTGTAGGCATACAGAGATGAAGATCAATGGAAATTGCCGACAAAAATCTTGAATAAAATGATTACTTTCAAATCAACAAGCTATGTCATGTATATTTATATTTTTAATAAGAAAATGAAAAAAAACCACACACATTTCTTTGCTTATTTACAATTATATTTAAATTAACTATATTTTGTTATGGTGTCACCCCCTTGGATGGTATTACTTGGTGCGATCAGTCTCTTTTCTCCTGCACCTGCATTGTAATCAGACTTTCTTTCAAGCATCTGTTCGGGTTGGGGGGGGGGGGGGGGGGGACGCCATATAATTTATATAGAAAGTATTAAGTTTTACCACAGGAAAATTTAATCCGCCCCATCTACACACACCAAAAGTTTAAAGTGCACCCCCCTCCCCACCCGCAGAGCAAAAAGTGTGAAAGAAACACTGCTTGTGGCGCTATTGAATATCGGCTTAATTTTATATTTACATATAATCTTATACATTAAAAAGTAAAACATAAATCAAACGTTTAAATTCACTAAAAATGATAAGTAAATAATTTTTTAAAAATTCAACAGGAAAACAAAACTACCGTCTCTCCAAAAAATTAATTTGCATTATATTAATTAAAGCTTTAGAAAACGTATGGTTATTTCCTTATTTTTGTACTATTAAAAGCTAGTTCTTACAAATGTTTATAATAGATGTTTTAATTTAAATAAACTTTTTTGTACGGTTTTATTCAAACATATTTACAAATATTTGCTTCAGTAATTTTTATTTTCCTCGAAATCTTTCCCAAGTACTTTTTAATTAATTTTTGTCGTAAGATAAAATTATTTTTAATCGTAAAAATTTGATCGAATGAATACGGCACGAATAAATTTGTAGTTTTTCCCTTTAATCCGTTGATTGTTTATCGACACATTAAAAAACTTTGTTCACTGTTCGAACGCCAGCCCCGATTCAGTTGTCTGATTAATAATCGATAGGACCACAAGGGACAAACGCTGGGTGGGAAAAAATGGTCCGTGGGAAAGTCAAGGCGAACGGTGGGAACACTGTCGTCCGCGGTATAGCACTTGGCCGTACGGCGATGGCGGCGAGCCGTACATTGCCGTAGGTTAACGCAACTAGCCGCTACTTCCCGCAGATAGACGTCACTCACCGCAAGTAACAGTAGCTAAACGCAGGATGTATCTTCTTACCTCAGCTAGCAGTTACTTACCGCAGATCAGAGTTTCTTCCAGGCATCTCTTCCCCCCCCCCCCCCCGCGAAGAAAGTCTACCCCCCCCCCCCCCAAACGAAATGGAATTTATATAGAATATTTATACTTTTACCAGTGTCCGCCCCCCCCCCCCCGGAAAATGTTGACCCCCCCCCCCGAAAATATCAAGTCCCCCCCCCCCCCCCGGAGAAAAAAGTCTGGAAGAAACACGGCCGCAGATAGCCGTTATTTACCGCATATAGCCGTTATTTGCCACTTAGAAAGCAGGTACCTAATCAGGCAGTAAAGCACCATTCGTTGATCTACACACTCTACTAAAGTCAGATTGAGAAAGCGATCAACTCTACTTCGTCTGCCCTAAAAACCGTCTGGTCTAAAGAGTAGTCACCTTCTTTACCCAATTTTAAAATCGAACCTCCTGATTTAAATAATCGAACCTCCTGGCATCATAATCTAACAAACCAAATTTAAATAATCGAACCTCCCTTTAAAGCTACTGACAAGATAATTTTGTATCCAACCAGACCTGACGAAACGGCCTCGTTCACACACAAATGACGTCCCACTTTTACGACAATCTGTAATTGCTGGAAAAAAATCAATCCTTCTTAAAGTAGCGTCACATTTCAGTCCGTTCCAGTTCCACAACCCCTAAAAAGTTTAGTGTTTTTGAAAGATGTAGGTCTATTTGGATCTCTTTGTTTTTATGAGATTGCAGCCAGTTCACAAACAGGTCTTTAGCAGAGAAGCAATCACAGAACAGATTAATTAATGTAGGCGCTCATAAACAAATCACCCAATGCCTGATGACACCAAAATAGAGAATACTCGACCAGGAGATAAAAATGTTTGAACAATATTACTAGAAAAAATGCATCGACCAAAATAAAATGGAAACTTAAACTGAATCAATGCATGGATTTTTATAAGGTTTTTAATGAATGCAGTTTTATTAGCTTCGTGTTTTATGTGGATGCAAGGTAATAAAACACAACTTGAAATAATAATTTTTAATAATAATAAAAATATTTTAAATATAAATATACGTTTTTCGATTTTCAGTCTCACGGAAAATAAGAACAATAAATTGTTACTATTTAGGTAACATTAAAGTAACACAAACACCGTCTAAACTAGGATAGTGGTGTTTGCACTGACGTGGTTTGAGATGGCGCTTTATGATACCGACAGTAGCACTTCAGTGATACTAGCAGTAGCACTTTAATGACAGTAACACTTTAATGGTTTTAATGGTGATGCCTTAACACAGTAACGATACTGACAATAACATTTTAATGATAATCATTTCAATGGTACTGACAGTAACATTTATAACGTTACTGACAGTAACGTTTTAATAATACTAACAGTAAAATTTCAATGGTACTGACAGTAACATTTTAATGGTACTGACAGTAACAGTCGTTGCCGACGTTTACTGGGACAAATGTGTCGTTGCCGTCGTCCTTCTCTACAAGGATCCACTGGACTCGGTTCCTCAGCTGGCAGGTACCAGATAGTGTACAAGGGGAGCCTAGCCTATAAGAAAAAAAAAATATCCCCTGACCAATTTGTGATAATAACATTTCAATAAAAGAGTGGATTTAAAGAAAAACAGAGAAATACATTGTTTTGCGAGCAAGGATGACCAGTATTTTTTTTTTACCTCTAGCGTTTTCCTTTACACAACAGCACGTCACATGTGGTTAAATTAGCCGTGGGTTATCTGGTTAAATGAGTAAGTAGGGTCTTGAGACCGGTTACCGAACTCGTGACTTTCAGGTTAGAAGCACCCGTTCTATCGCTATTTTATCTCAAGGGGAGCAAGCGGTAGCATCATAAGATGGGGCAGGGGTGTGTGTGGGGGGGGGGGGGGGGTTGTGCCGCACCCTGTGACACCATCCAAAGGTTATGTTAAGGGTTAACTGCAGGGGAAGTAAGCAATAGCGTCACAAGATCATCCTAAGGGTGATACCGAACGACCAAAATTTTTTTTGAAATTGTATCTTTTAACCTGTGTATGTATCCGTATGTATTGGGTCGTCGTGGTCGGGAGGGAAAGCTCATGGTTCCTAACCGTAAAGTACTGAGTTCGAACCCCCAGATGAAGCTCAATAACTGGGGACAGCAACCCATCTAGGACAGGAAACTCCGAAACCAAACAGGACAGGTGTCCCGAATGTAGTAGGATAACATACACTGGGTTCCATTACAACTTCTGCAACCGAAGCTGGTACCAACCATTGCCTAGCATTCCTTTGGACAAAACCGGCCACGATCTAGAGAGGAGTTACGATGCACGGGCACACCATGATCGCTTTATCTAATGCCCAGGTATCAATGTTCCCTCTAAGGGGGGAAAAGCTAGTGTGCAACGTGTATTTTGTGTGCGCGGTGTTCTAAAAATTTATTACAAGTGTATAATTATTTTACAAAATCACTGCGCGGCAGCTCAAAACTACTTCGCGGCCGCGCAACCGCGCAGCTTAGAGAGAACACTGCCAGGTATGTGCCCTGAGGATTTCTATTCTCTGGGAGGTTCCATGGCCTCTGGAGACAAACAGGAGCCGTGTTTAGATAGAGTGGATCTATCATTGATATATGCCCGAAAGAGACTTACGCCGCGCACTTTCCCTGGTGTAGGATCTGGTAGGAGGAGTTGAAGTGTTTGACTTTGTATTCCTGGTTGTTGTACACCGATGTGACGTAGGTAGGGATGGTCAAGGTCATGACGCTGTGGAGAGGCAGGTGAGGGCAGGTGAGAGCAGGAGAGATGGCAGTAAAACTATAGACACTCTGTCAGGCAAACGTCCAACGTACTGCTATTGTGAATCCCTCAATTTCGTATGGCTTAAGTGAACCACACAACGTATGGCTAAAGTGAACCACACATCACACAGCTTATAGTTAAAGTGACCCATATATCACACAACGTATGGCTAAAGCTACCCTCATCTCACACAACCTATTGCTCAAGTTACCCTCAAATCACCCAATGTTTTGCTAAAGTTACCCACATATCACACAACTTATTGCTAAAGTTACCTTCTCACACAACCTATTGCTCAAGTTACCCTCATTTCACCCAATTGTTTGCTAAAGTTACCCACATATCACACAACTTATTGCTAAAGTTACCCACATACCACACAACTTTTTGCTAAAGCTACCTCCATCTCACATAATCTATAGCTTAAGTTACCCACATATCACACAACTTATTGAACCAATCAAAGCTCACTCACGTGACACAACAAGGATCCGTCGCTTCCCTACGGCCACGCTGATTGGTCACCTTGTTGCCATCATTTGGCCAGGGCATGTTAAAGCTGTCATTCCGAATCTGGAAGTTTCCCCTCATAAAGCTGCTGGGATTCAGGATCAGACAGAACAGGTTGTCGCGGTCTAGAAAAAGGCCAGGGAATCGATCGTTGTCGCAGACTCTCCTGCATTTGGATGTGTCCTTCACCTCAGGGTTGGAGTGGGATCTGGAAGAGGCAGTTTGATGCTTTTCGAATCTTTGGATTTTGCATTGTGTCATAATTTGATTAAAGCTATAACATTTTAATGAACCTATTTTTGCAAACGAACTTATCCCAGGTTGCGAATGTACCTCAATTAACACATTTACTACAGTCAACGAATCTACAGGAGGTGACAAGCTTACAACATCTAGTAGGTAATGAGCTTGTTCTAGCTAACGAACTTACCCCAACAACGAATTTACCCCAGCTAACGAACTTACACAAAGTTATGAACTCATCCCAAACCTGCGAACTTATCCAAATTTACCAACTTACCCCAAAAGCTAACTTACCCCAGCTAACGAACTTACCCCAACTGTTAACTTACCCCAGCGAACGAACTTACCCCAGCGAACGAACATACCCCAACTAACGAACTTACCCCAACTAACGAACTTACCCAACTAACGAACTCACCCCAGCTAACGAACTCATCCCAGCTAACGAACTTACCCCAGCTATCGAGCTTACCCCAGCTAACGAACTTACCCCAACAGCTCGTGGCTAAACAGAAGAAACATCAACAAACTAAGTGAAGCAAACATTTCCAACAGCCACCCAGCATATGCCCAATGGTAAACTATCACTGTAACAATGTTTATACAGAAACATTATGTGTTCTTCAGGACATGTCTTTTGTCCAAACCCCCCCCCTCCCCCCTGCCCCCTCACATGTTTTAAAATGATTGCAGTGTGTTCCCTAAATCGATATGACAAAAGAAAACGTCTGTGCACCAAAGTAAATACAAGGTATAGATCATTAAAGAGATGAAACAAAAGACACAATAGCGGATGAGCTGGGCCGATATTTTAAGTCGAGTTTCGGGGCAGCTCATATGAATAGTTTTTTTTTTTTTTTTTTTTTTTTTTTTTTTTTTTTTTAACATAACAAATGTAACATAATGTTTTTTCAGAAAGAGTTTAAATAGGTGTGTTAGTGCGTTGTTAAAGGTGCTGTGGCTCAATGGTATACGGTGACGCTCGGTGGGGGTGGAGCACCACGCCTCCCCCTTGTGACGCCACTGTTCAGAATATGACTACTAAAAGTTAAAGCGTGTACTTACAAATGTGTAGTGTAAGTTATTTAAGCTATTTAAGGTGTGTATATACAATGTGTCCAGTGGCGTAGCCAGGATCGTCTCAAGGGGGGGGGGAGTTCCAATTTTTACCCGGGGACAAACTTTAGATTTGCACCCCCACCCCCTCTCAAACTTTAGATTTGCACCCCCCCCCCTCAAACTTTTTATATATATACCGAGGGGTCTATGGGGGGGGGGTTATGAACCCCCTCCTAACCCCCCCCCCCTGCCTACGCCACTGAATGTTTCCATGTGATATGGGCTGGGGATGTGTATTAGGCGTTTGTATCTGGGGGTGGGGGGGTATCAGACGGGTGTGTCAGGGTGTGTTTAAAAAAAAGTCACGATGACAAAACTGTCAAAAAATAAATAAATAAAAAACACGTAAGACCAAACCAAACATACAACAAAAACATATATTTTTTTTGTGTAGCCCAATCAATTGTTGTAGATTTTTATTGCAGTGAATGACCTACGATTATTTCGGTCGCCATTTATGAACAAACCTTTCGGTTTTTTTTTCCGATAGTTTCTAATTACTACTAGAGCTACTAGCCCTCGTATAGAAACTTTGGTTTATAAGCAAAATAAATGATGATGGGGAATTCAAACTGGATTAGTAATCAATGGTATAAATAGTGTAGGACTGTAATACCTTCATGTACGCCTTAAAAGAGAGTTGTCCATTAATGAGTTATTTTAGTCGATATATATCAATTTTTTAATGACGTGGGGCGTTGTAAAAAAAAAATCCCCCTTCCTCCATGTATAGCATTTTAACTGTGCAAACATCACATTGAAGTCAGTTCGCCCTATCCCTCTTGTTTGTGCTAAACTGAGATGAGTATTATATTATTTTATGTTCCGCGGCACCAATAAATTGCGTTATGCTAATATAGCTATTTTTTACCCCCTTTTTCCTATCGTCAAACCTCATTACAAAATAATGCGGGAGTGATCTCCCTTAAAATTTCTTGTTAGTGCTAAGAGTAAGAGAAATGGCACTTTCAGTGCAATCTGGATATATGAATGTTGTTTTTTAATTATTTTTTAAAATACTTAATTAAATACTTAATTTAAAAAAAATATAATCGAGTAGAAAAAATGAACGTAAGCGTTTTGTGCATAAATGAGCAGAAATTTTTGTCTTCATAAAGAAACTATTAGTTAATTTTTTAAAAGCGAATGAAATATCTAATAAAGTCACATTGCATTGTCATCGAGTTTTGACCAACGTGAAAAGTTTGAAAAGGAACAGTCAGATAGATGTGATAGTCTTTGAGAAATCTGAAATATATTTTGATTTTAGCTCCATTACAATGCATCCTTTATATTCCTTTTACGATACAGTGGGGAGGTGTAAAACGGCGAAAACTATTAGAATTTCATTTAATTTTTCCTTGCACGCAAGGCAGGCGCTACCTATAAGGCGAACTAGGCGGTAGCCTAGGGCGCTGTCCGTAGGGGGCGCCAAAATGGAAAACCAAATTGAAAGTTTGAGGGTGCAAATTGAAAGTTTGTCCCCGGGCGCCGGAAAAGGTCGCTGATAATACTGGGGCACGAAAAAAATTGCGAGGGGGCGGAGGCGCTTTTAATAAGTATTGCCTTGGGCGCTAAATAACCTGGCACAGGCACTGTTTGCACCAGAGTTTCTTCCAGGCATCTCTTCGGGGAGGGGGGGCAAAGCCCCCCAGAAAATTTTTTACCGCCCCCCCCCCCCCCAAACGAAATGAAATTTATATAATTTATATAGAAAATATATACTTTTAACAGTGTCCGCCCCCCCCCCCCCCCCCGAAAAAAGTTTACCGCCCCCCCCCCCGAAAATTTCAAGTGCCCCCCCCCCCCCCCCCCGGAGAAAAAAGTCTGGAAGAAACACTGGTTTGCACGATTACAATACTTTCTCAATAGGCTACTCTGTATACGAGAAGTAAAAAAAAAGACCCACCCTCCCGTTTTCTCCGCCAAAATGACATCACAAAGATTGAGATCAGGAAAAATTATTTCAAAATAATTACTTTTTAAATTAGGCATACTCAAAACACTTTTCTTGGATAGTTACCATTTTAATGTATATGTGGGCGATGTGGGCTTTCGTGAGAACCTCCGGAAACTTTAATTCAAGGGAAACAACTACAAAAAAGATATAACAATAACAATGCATAAAAGACTATAACATCAACACGCCGTGTTTCGAAACAGATCTGTGTCCAGACTACATTACTGACTAGATCTAGATCTAGGTCTAGATCTATAGTCTTCTTTAGATTTCTAGGTCCCAATTGAAAGATCTAGCTTCTAGATTTCTAGATCTATATCAAACTGTAAGCCTTATTCATATAGAATCTACTTTTATACTGTGATGTTAAACTTGATTTAATATTTAATTTTAGGGCAGGGCCTAGCACACTTCACTATCTATATAATATATATTATATATAGTGAATAGTGTGACTTTAAACTTAGTTAGTAGTTAGACTAGTGACTAGGTCACTAGACCAGGGATCGGCAACCTTTTGAGACGGAAGAGCCAAAAGTTACAATTTTCAAAATTTCCCAGTTTTTTAAAGAGCCACAAACATTTTTTATACCAATATTTTATTTTTTGATTAGGATTAGGTAAATACTTTTGGTAATCTATCGTTTTGGGTACGTAAAATCGCCCGCGGCTATTAATGTACGAAAACGTTACCTCATTGTCAAGGCTGTAATAGAAGTATATTGTAATGTGTTTGTGTCAAATATTATAGATAAATGAATAATACACCTAAATCAATAGCTAAACATATCAATATAGGCCAGAAATTAACTTTAAACAGCAGTGTCTGCAAGCAAGATTTGCTATATAAACAGCAGCCATTTGTAAAATAGAGTGACTTCCGCCTGAATCTCGCGCTAAAAGTCTATAAAAATAAAACTTTAACAAGATGGCTGCTATAGTAAATGAGCATGGTTGCATCTGTTGGAAACATCGCTGGTGTTCATTTATTACTGAAAAGTTTTAATTCAATTGTTTAAAAACAGGTACATAAATGAAACAAGGAAACATTTTTGTATTTTTCAAAACATAAATCCTCCTCAAAATGTGAAATAATTATTAAAATGTAAAGAGTCACCTGTTTTTCACATTACTACTCGCGGGCGATTTTACGTACCTAAAACGATAGATTACCATACTTTTGATTTGCTATTTAAAATAAATAGCTTTAAATATGACATACACTTCTTTCGCGAGAATTATGAAATTAGTAATAAAAAATAAAAACATTGGACTATCCCATTCCACTTTAAAAGCAGTTAACTTTTTCTGTCTTTACTGACACCACCGGCTCGGGAGGTGTCTGCCATTAGCCAAGCAGGCCTCAACACGGAAAACTCCAACTAACTGGCTTGAATATCGGTTTGATTACCGTGTATCGGTCTTTTCTGTTCTCACCAGGTTTATCTCCCACCCCACCTAACGCAAGGTAAACTCGTACCCCACCGTCCAGTACCCGGCTCAACAATAGTAACTAATCACTTAAAAGCTACGTCACTCACGTCAAAGTAATGATTACTGACCGCTATGGACATGCATTCTGAATAAAATGACATTCGCTTGTAACGATATTAAAAAAAGTGGGCATTTGGGCAGTAGCAAGCATTGAATAGTCGCCACGGTGCTGGCTACAGCAGGGCTGTGGGGCTGGGCCTGGTGCCCAAGCTGCTGTCAGCTGTCCGAATACTTTCTACCTCACCTACTCTTATTGTTCTCTGATGAGTGTTTTTATCCTATTTAAAGTTGAGTTCCTTTACAGTATAATATTTGTTGCAAATTTTGAATGGAAATAATATAACTATTAATATATGTGCAAGGATCTGGAGAGCCGCATCTTGACATCAAAAGAGCCGCATGCGGCTCGCGAGCTGCAGGTTGCCGACCCCTGCACTAGACTATACTATTATGTATTATATCTATATAATAATATACTAGAAATTTAGATCTATATACAGTTCATTACTCGATCCGATCTAAAATCTAAGTTATTTATATTTATATTAGGCCTAATATTTAAGTTTAAAGTTAACCACTTCCAAGTTACTAGGCTATTTTTTTTTTAACTTAAGTTTACTTAAGTATTTTCCTATTTGTTATTGAAATTATAGGCTATAGGCCTACTATTTAATATTTATTGTATATTTTTAATTTTTAAGTTTTTAAGTCTAAAAATTAAAAAAATAAAAACTCCTTAGAGTGTAAGAGTCTAAGACTGACTAAGACTAAGCCAAGCACTAAGGCAACTAACAAACAACTAGATCTATACTGCAACTGTTATTCTTAGTTAACAGTTGATACTGAGTTGAAGTTCAGTAAGTTGACTCTTCACTGTCACATAGTCTTAGTCTTAATGTAACACTATGATCAGTGTTTCTTCCAGACTTTTTTCTTCACCGGGGGGGGGGGGGGGACACTGTAAAAAGCGGTAGAATTTTTTCGGGGTGGGGGGGGGGGGGGGCGGTAGACTTCCTCGGTGGGGGGGGGGGACACTAAAAAGTGGTATTCAGAGTAAAATGTGTGTGTGATGCTGTAAAGTACTGTCATTTAATGTAAAAGTCAATGTTGTACTTGTGTATTAGACAGTAAACCAGTATATGAGGTCACAGTAAAAATCAGTTAAAAGTAAACTTAGGCCAAAACAATTTTTTTTTAACCATTTGGCTCCTAGGCTGCTACACTTTTCTCACTTGCCGCTTCCTAAGGAAAGGGGCAACACTCTTTAAAATATAATCTAAATATAGGTTGGGTCTTTTAAAAAATTCAGAACAAAACAAATCTCATCCACAGCAGACATGCATTGTTGAAACAAAAGTAAAATGGATAACATGTAATAAAATGAATTCTTTTCTGCACTTAATTGAACAAAAATAAATTAATTCATAACCATACCAACAGCAAACGCGCTTTGGACGTAGCACTACTAGACAACTACTATTAATAGCAATTTCCATTTTTAGAAGTACCCACATGTCTAATATTTCTTAAATTAAATATCATTATCACTACTACTATTTATTTTCTTCTAAATTATAAGTGTCCCACATGTCTAATATTTCTTAAATTAAATATCATTATCACTACTACTATTTATTTTCTTCTAAATTATAAGTGTCCCATCATAACTTAGTCCAAAGGTATCATTAAATTAACACAAAAATCATGACTCCACAGCAAAAAGATGCAAATATAAAAAAAAGAAGCATTTGGCGATATCAGGGGTTAATGGGTTAAATAAGTAATTTACTCTAATAGATAATTACACAACATATAGATCTAGATCTGGGACTTACTCAGTGGGAGAATACAGGTGTGGATAAGGGTCAGGCCCATGCTGGAGTAACATATTAAGCCTCTTTGTAAGGGGTCGACGTGGCCGAGTCGGTAAAGCTCATGGTTGCTAAACTGAAAAGTCTCGAGTTCGAACCCTCGGGCAGATGAGGCTCGTTAGCTGGGGACAGCCACTCTTCTAGGAGAGACAACTCCAAAATCAAACAACTGCTGCCTTGTAGTTTGTTCTTGATTGGACAAAGGCTATGGAAGCAAATCCAAAAAGAAAAGCAGGCTGAAATCGGAGTCAATGGCCTCAATGGCGCATAACCAGTTGACACGTATCCTTAATTGACGAGAATTGTGATGGAAGCATGGTCGAGTCGGCAAAGCTCATGTTTGATAAATTCGGAAAAAAAAAAGTCTCGAGCTCAAACCCTCTGGAAGATAAGGCTCGATCCCTTCCAACACTAAAAATTAAGGACGAAGAAGAAGAAGAATCCTCTTTGTAAATAGTAATCAGTACAATGGTTACATGTACACTAAATAAGTACTTGTACTTGTTTAGTGTACTTGTGTAAAAACAGTAACCAACTAGAACAGGGATAAGGCACACAATGTCAAACTGTAAAAGTAGAAGTAAAGTTCCCCTTCCAAATCTGATGATATATGGGGCCATAGAAGTAGAGTTCACGTGTTTCTGTGACCTCGGCATATGAAGAGATAGTGTGCTCAGCTCTATGCTCAACCGCCTTTACTTTCCCTAGCGTGAGTTAAGTACCCATCAGAGCTGGGTTGACTCAGGGACGGTCTACTGATTTGAATCAGGATTCGAACTCGAGACTCACAGGTTAGCAGTCTAGCTCTATACTGCTAGCCCACTCCATCCCTTGATTACATTTCCCAACCTACACTTTTTAAAAGAACCCTATTTGGTATTTTAAGAATTGTTATTGAAGCCCTTATTTTTTCTGTTTAATCATCATGTTGGATCACAAACAATGTACTAGCCTTCTCACCAATAGGCTGTTGAAATATATAGAATGTATATTTACGCCTTCACATCTATTTAATGAGTTTTAATATATTTCACAGATCACAATGTCAGAACCTCCACCCTTTACCACTGATCTACAGTTTTGTCCATTCTGTGGCTCTGTGCTACCTCTACCTAGTATTGGACAAAGTATTATTTCATGTGCACGGTGTCCAGCTACTAGGAATTTAAAAGGTAGGTTAAGGGTTAAACTACGGACAAAAATTATTTCATGTGGACAATGTCCAGCTACAAGGAACTTAAAAGGTAGGTTAAAGGTTAAACTACGGAAAAAATATTTAATTTGGACAATGTCCAGCTACAAGGAATTTAAATGGTAGGTTAAAGGTTAAACTATGGACAAAAATTATTTCATGTGCATGTTGTCCAGCTACAAGGATTTAAAAAGGTAGGCTAAGGGTTAAACTATAGACATGTATCATTTCGTATGAACAATATCTAGCTACAAGGAATTAAAAAGGTAGGGTAAAACTAAACAATTTGATTGGTGCTACTAAATTAGCCATACATGAATGTCATACAACATTGTCAGATGGTAGAACACAACTGCTAACCTGAAAGGTGAACCATTAGGTGTAGCCCAGCAACCAAATACAAGGGTCCCAGGAAATTTTCATCCAGTGGCCCCACTCAAGCTTAATCAGCACTTAGGATAAGAGGATTGTGTTGGGACCTCAAGATCTACACAAATTACTTCTTGAGCGTTAGTGTTGCATATGCTCAGAGACATTCTTAGGGACAAATTTAAAATCATGTGAACAGTTGATCAAATAAAAAAACTTTCTAGTGTAATAAAACTTGTACTCCATCACACTGACTTTTTTTTACCTCTTAGTTTGTCATTTTTTAACCAATTTTTTAAGCATAAATTAATCTATCATTTAACACTTAGAGGTATATTTAACTTGACTCAGATATTTAGCAACAATCAAACCATTCAGTTTAAAATAATTTTTAATTGCTTTTTTAAATTGATTATTTTTTAATGCAACTGTTATCTGTTTTGATAGGTGTCTAAGGGAGGGAACTGCCATCAACTTTTGTTCTGATTTCGAAAATGAGTAGCCTTTCTTTTACATCTGTTTTCTCCAGAATACCAAGATGTCACAGAAACTTTTGTCATTCATTTCAACACCCCCAAAAGGAAACAAAAGAAAAATATAGAAGCGGAAGATCTCATAAAAGAAGAGTTGATACCTGAATTCCAGGGCCCAACTGTAAGACGTTCAGTTACTAAATGCAGTATTTGATCTGAAATAAGACTAACAAGTTTCTCATAAAAACATTTTCTGTAACTAATTTTTATTCTGTCTGTAGTTTAATAATTTTAATGGATAAAAAAATTGTCTGATTATAATTTATTTTAGAGTTTATTCTTGAGCTTAATTCGTCTTAAAATAGTGTAATTTTAAGTGGGGAGGCTGGGGATCCAACATAGCAAACAATCAGCTTCTCACCTTAGTTTGGTTTAAGGTGAACCAGTGTTTAAAAATTATCTTTGATGAATTAGGTGGACTAGCCATTTCAAAAATTATCTTTGATGAATTAGGTGGACTAGCCATTAAAAAATTATCTTTGATGAATCAGATGGACTAGCCATTTAAAAAATTATCTTTGATGAATCAGATGGACTAGCCATTTAAAAAATTATCTTTGATGAATCAGATGGACTAGCCATTTAAAAAATTATCTTTGATGAATCAGGTGAACTAGACATTAAATAACTATCTTTGATGAATCAGATGGACTAGCTATTTAAAAAATTATCTTTGATGAATCAGTTGAACTAGACATTAAATAACTCTTTGATGAATCAGATGGACTAGCCATTTAAAAAATTATCTTTGATGAATCAGGTGAACTAGACATTAAATAACTCTTTGATGAATCAGATGGACTAGCCATTTAAAAAATTATCTTTGATGAATCAGGTGAACTAGACATTAAATAACTATCTTTGATGAATCAGATGGACTAGCCATTTAAAAAATTATCTTTAAATCAGGTGGAGCGCCAGTGTTCCAGGTGCAACCACGACATCATGATCTACACAACCAGGCAGACACGATCGGCAGACGAGGGTCAGACAGTTTTTTACACATGTGTCAAGTGCAAGTAAGTTTCACTTTTTGTGTGATGTGTGATATAAGTTTCACTTTTTGTGTGATGTGTGATATAAGTTTCACTTTTTGTGTGATGTGTGATATAAGTTTCAATTTTTGTGATGTTTGAACTGCTATAACTCTCAAATGTTTGTGTGATGTGTGAAATGCTATAAGTTTCACTATTTTGTGTGATTTGTTTGTGTGCTATATAATGTTGATTATTAATATTAATTATATATTTTATAAACTACAATACTAAGTTTTCTAAAACTGTCACTGGATAATTAATGTTAAACAAGCACTTTAATCAGAGAACAAAATAAAGAAAATTGTTTTTAAATGTTGTTATTAATTCTCTCAAGCGCTTAAGTTTTTTTTTCAAGCTTACATGTTTTTGATATATTTACAAAGAGATATCTAAGTCAAAATTTTCTTTTATTCTTGGTAAAAATACAATTTTTCATTGTTTTGTGACCAGCTACTCTTTCATTTAAAAGATAATATGATTTATTTATTTTTGTTTTGTTTTGCAGATTTCAAGACATTGAGTATTCCTAGTTTTTATCCCATGCCAGAGTGAATACAGTCCAATGAATATTTTGCTGCACTAACTTGTTTATATATGTCAATAAAGTAAAATAAAATTACTAGTGCTGTTTATGTGTGAATTTATAATATGGTACATATATAATATGGTACAAGTTATTTGTAGAAACTTTAGTGCAGCTTTACAAATGTTTATATGTTTTTATGTAAGTGTTGTTACAGTCTGGGCTTTTGATAGTGTTAAGGCTGAAGTACTCATACTTGTAAAATCTACCTAACCTCTTATCACTTCCTTTCCAATTGTTCTTATGCTATAGACGTGTGTGTACTATATTGTTTACTTTTTAATCTCAATATAACTAAAACACTATAGTTTTAAGGTTAATTTAAATGTGTAAGTAAAATGGACGCTGCTCTAAATCAGGGGTCTCCAAACTACGGCACGAGGGCCGGATGCGGCCAGCGAGGTCCTCTTATCCGGCCCGCGGAGATCTTTTTGTCCACGGAAAAAAAAACGTTTGTTGGTGATGGCTGAAAAACTTCGCTCAGAAAAATCAAAGAAACTGGCCTCGAACTCAAATTTGATAGTTAATGCGGCCCTCGGACTGAAAAGTTTGGAGACCCCTGCTCTAAATCTACGCAAATACTTATATGTAACAATCCTTACAGTTTAATGTGGATGATTAGGCTGAAGAATAAAAGAATGAAGAATAAAATCTTTGTTCTTAGTTCTAACGATTCCATCAAAGTCCATAAGGTCAAGCTACATCAATATTCTAACCCCTCATACATCACACACAGCCCATAAGGTCAAGCTACATCAATATTCTGACCCCTCCTGGATCAAAGCCCATAAGGTCAAGCTACATCAATATTCTGACCCCTCCAACATCACACAGCCCATAAGGTCAAGCTACATCAATATTCTGACCCCTCCATCACACACAGCCCATAAGGTCAAGCTACATCAATATTCTGACCCCTCCTGTATCAAAGCCCATAAGGTCAAGCTACATCAATATTCTGACCCCTCCTGGATCAAAGCCCATAAGGTCAAGCTACATCAATATTCTGACCCCTCCTGGATCAAAGCCCATAAGGTCAAGCTACATCAATATTCTGACCCCTCATACATCACACACCTCAAGCGCAGTAGCGTAGCGAGGGGGGGGGGGGGTGGCGGGGGGGGACATATGTCCCCGGGCGCCGACCTTAGGGGGCGCCGAAATGGGTTGGAAAAATAAATTGAAAGGTTGAGGGGGGGTGCAAATCGAAAGTTTGAGGGGGGGGGGGGTGCATATGGAAATCTCGAGGGGGGGGGGGGTGCAAATCGAAAGTTTGAAGGGGGGGTGCATATGGAAATCTCGAGGGGGGGGGGGGCGGGGTGCAAATCAAAAGTTTGAGGGGGGGGGGGTGCAAATCGAAATCTTGAGGGGGGGTGCAAATCGAAAAGTTTGTCCCCGGGCGCCGGGAAGGGTCGCTACGCCTCTGCTCAAGCGTCATCAATATTCTAACCCCTCCATCATACACAGCCCATAAGGTCAAGCTACATCAATATTCTAACCCCTCCCAAATCACACACATCCAGAGAATGTTATCAGCTGATGTTTGCAAACAATGCCAATCCATCCCCAGAAAGTTTTAAGTTTGAACTTTACTCTTGTTAATATCAAGATAATTTCACAATAATAGTTTACAGAAGCTCTTTTTTTCTATGTAAAGCGAAGTAACTCCATTAAAATAACCGATTTATAAGCCTAGCCTAGTCATGTCCCCTTAAAATGATAAACTCTCAGTCAACACGAAAGCGAAATAACTCCATTAAAATAATCGACAAGATAAACCTAGCCTAGTTACGCCCCCTTAAAATGGTAAACTCTCAGTAATTCACACGCACAGAAGGCGATTGTGTTTGGGTGGTTGGTAAAAAATCGGAAAAAATAAACCTCGTGTTTTTAAACCATCTTGTCTTTTAACAAAAATTTTATGTAACAACGTTTTTCAAGACTGTAATGTATGTTTATATTGTTTATTTGTGAGTTGTTTAATAACAGAAGACTATGAGCTATTGGAAACAAATCTGCCCACGTTTTAAGACAATGAGAAAAATAAAAAACTTGAAACGTGTTGGGTTATGTGCTCTTTATTTCAACATTTTAAACTAGTTTTAAGAATCATTTGAGATCCGCGTCCGGGGTACTTTGCAAAATTGATTACCGCGTTCGTGATCTAAATGATACAGACACAAAGAGATGAAACTTAGGTAACTAATAAATAAATATAATAGATAGTGTGTGATGACGGGGTTAGTGTGTGACGACGGGTTTTGTGTGTAAACAATGAGATCGTGTGACGTTTGTGTATGTTTGAATGAACGTAGGACAGTGGCTAGTACAAGTTAAACAAAAAAAGGGGGGGGGGTGTTCTGACAGGTGCGTGGCTGAGTAATGTTCATCGGGTTAACAATAAGTTGTTGTTGTTTTTTAATGGGGGACGGGGGGGAGGGGAGTAATGGAATGTAGCACACGTGTCAAAAATTGTGATCATGAGCGATATCAATTTTATTTTTTAAAAAACCAGACAGATAGTGTTAGTGTAAGAAGACATGTTGACTCATGTTGTGATCGTGTAAGACAGGGGTCTCCAAACTACGGCCCGAGGGGGGGGGGGGGTGTAGGGTCGGGGTTAGGGGAAAGTGGGGGGGGGGGGGTTAGTGTTTTAAAGCAAATATTTTCAGTGGCAGCATTGGTACTGTCGAATTTACAAATTATGAATTACTGAAAAGTAGAAAATAAAACAACTAAATAGCGGCGTATGATACGCTGCGGGTCAGCTCGTAGGTACTAAAGTGCTAAAGTGACCCACGCTTTTCTTTATAGTTATTTAAATAGTAGTCTATAATTTATTTTCTACTTTTTAGTGCATTATTACATAAAAGCTTGTTATTAAAACGTTTTTTTAAATGAATTTTTTTACCCCCTCCGCTTGTAGGCGTAGGCCTACTGTCATAAAAATTAACTGGGGCAACATGTATGTTTATTTTTTGTTAAGCGCGACAACTCTTTTATACTGTCGACAGCATCATCCAAGCTTGGTTACTTCCCCTTAAGAGAGGATTATAATATCTGAATATGTGACTATGTGATGAGGGTATGTCATGCCACCCCCCCCCCCCCTCTCCCTACACGGACAATATAGACCACAATATTAAAATCAAATATGAAATAAATAATTTAATCACCGTCCACCCACACTAAGATAAATGGATGGGGTGAGTGGTGTGTGTGGAGGAGGGAGGGGGGGGGGTGACTATGAAGTAAAAACAATCGGTAAAATAAGCTTCCTCCTTAGAGGCATCTTATTTATTTAATAAAATAACATCAAGTTTCAAAGACTAGTTCTCTTTTTTCAATATTGTTTGAACGTATGGGAAAAAATTCTACCTTCCTTTTAAAACATATTAAAGAAATAATACATAAATTGAAACGCGCTGGAAGTTATGTGATGTTGTATTACATTTTTAAAACAAGTTACGAGAAAGATTTCAGAATTATACCCTATGTACTTCACAATGTCGATGGATGCTTTAGTGATATAGAACATAGTTTTAAAAAGTACTAAGCTTGTTACCAAATATATATTGATATATGTGTATGTTGTCTGGTGACTACAGTTAGATCGGTTGTGTGATGACGGAGTTTTGTGTGTACGTGAAAGTGCTACGTGTAAACAATGTGTAGTGAGATTGTCTGACATTCGTGTATGTTCGATGGGTGGGTGTAGGACAGTGTCTAGTGCAAGGTTAACAAGTGCTGGTGTGTTTTGACATGTGGGTGGCTGAGCTAGTGTTCAGGGGACGAACAATGAGAGATGGGAAAAGGGAAACAACTGGTGACACGGACTATGGAGGGAGGGGGGTGTGAAGGAGATTAGATTAAACTTAACACGCATGTCAAAACCTATGACATGGTGTGTTCAACAGCTATTTTACTTTTTATTTTTGATATGGGAAATTTCTTAACGTGTGTTGGCTATTGAAAAGACTTCCCAAGATAAACTAGCTCAACTGTATCGCTTTGCTGTTTTTGGTAGAAATATTAAATTGTGTAAGTTGACTGGATTCTGTTGTTCATTCTGTGTGTGTAGATTCTGTGTGGGGATTATGATTTGTTCGTGGGATCAGCAAGGACTGTTTATTTCTGGACATTGCTTCTATGTAATTAATAGGACCCATCACCAAAAAAACCAACAACAGAGGAAACACCAACAAGGCTCCATCAATAAAAGGCCCGATCAACTAGAGGAACAATAAGCTAGAGGACCCATCAGCTAGTGTACCCATCAGCTAGAGGCTCCATCAGCTAGATCAACAAGATGATCAAACACAATGAAAATCAGTAAGTGCGTAGCGGGCTTGTATATGTATACAGTAAACAAAAACAAAATATTATAAACAAACTACCACAAACCAACGAACATAAGTTACCACCATTAACTGACAACAGACCAACGAACAACAACTAACCCATTAACAGACAACCAACTAAACATAGACCACAAAATCACTAACTTTCAAATGACAAACAATTAGGACGTCATTATACCTCCCAGTCTACAAGTAGGACATCATTACACATTAAGCATGTAAGTAGGGCGTCATCACACATTCCAGTACATAATTAGGACGTCCCAGCATACAATTAAGATGTCATTACACCTCACAGCTTACCATTTGAACGTCATTAAACCCCCAAGCCTACAAGTAGAACGTCATTACACTTCCCAGCTTACTAATAGGACGTCATTACACATTTAGTATATATGAAGGACGTCATTGCAAATCCCAGCACACATGTAGGACGTCATTCCATATTCAAGCATACAATTAGAACGACATTACACATTCCATCAAACCATAGGGACGTCATTGCACATTTTAGCATATAATTAGGACCTCATCACCCATTACAGCACACACGTAGGACGTCATTAGACATTCCAGTACATAATTAGGACGTCATTATATATCCCAGCATACAATTAAGACGTAATTACACCTCCAAGCTTACAAGTAGGACATCATTCCACGCTCCAGCATAAATGTAA